CCCACCCCTTCCCTGGCGGCCCCCCAGCAGGGGAGCAAGGTGCTGGAGGGGAGCGCTGGAGCCCGGGGCGCAGCGTCCCGGCAGGAGGGTGGTCAGAGCGGAAGGTGTGTTGCCTGTGTTCAGCTAGGTCCTTGCTGCTTTATTGCAGTACGCAGCCGACCCGCAGGATAAGCACTGGCTGGCAGAGCAGCAGCACATGAGGGCCACTGGGGGCAAGATGGTGAGTACGCCCGGGCTGGCGGCTGCCGGCGGGGACCGCGCAGAGACCCCACCGCAGGGCTAGGACGGGGCGGAGGAGGCTAGGCAGGGCACGTGGAGGCAGAGGTGTGCTCCCTGGGGGCTGTGGAGGTCATAGAATGGTCCAAGCTGGAAGAGACCTCCATAGGTCATCTAGTCTGACCTCCCCACAGTCAGCAGGGACACCCCCAACTAGAGCAGGTTGACCAGTCGAGCCTCACCTTGAATATCTCCAGGGATGGGGCCTCAGCCACCTCCCTGGGCAACCTGTTCTAGTGTTTCACCACCCTCGTAGTAAAGAACTTTCTCCCAACATCCAATCTAAATCTGCCCGTTCCCAACTTGAAGCCATTGCCCCTCGTCCTGTCACTGCAGGTCTTTGTAAACAGACTCTCCCCAGCCTTCCTGTAGGCCCCCTCAGGTACTGGAAGGCTGCTATTAGGTCTCCCTGGAGCCTCCTCTTCTCCAGGCTGAACAACCCCAGCTCCCTCAGCCTGTCCTCGTAGCAGAGGTGCTCCATCCCCCTGATCATCCTCGTGGCCCTCCTCTGGACCCTCTCCATCAGGTCCATGTCCTTCCTATATTGAGGGCTCCAGACCTGCACACGGGGCTCCAGGTGAGGTCTCACCAGAGAGGAGCAAAGTGGCAGAATCACCTCTCTGGACCTGCTGGCAACACTTCTTTTGATGCATCCCAGGATGTGATTGGCCTTCTGGGCCGCAAGGTCCATCCGCTGCCCCTCAGGATGCGGGGGCAAGGCCAGGAGGCAACCCCAGCTGCCCTTGCTGCCACCAGAGTGGGGGCACGGCAGCCCTGAGGTGTGTGTCCCCCTCCTTGTGCTGCAGGCATATCTCCTCATCGAAGAGGACATTCGGGATTTGGCTGCCAGTGACGATTACAGGTGAGGACCAGAGCAGAGGTGCTGTGCCTGCTGCCCTGGGGTGGGAGAGGGGGGTCCTCTGCCACAGCCACCCCTGCTGCCCCACTGCAGGGGGTCCCTGTGCTGGAGGGGCACTGCTGTATGCCAGCTGGGGGGGCTTGATGCTGGGAGTTTGGGGGTTTGGTGCTGGTTGAGGGTTGGTTTCGGGGGTCCGTGGTTGGTGTCAGTTTCCATGGTTGGTGCCAGGGATCGGTGGTGGGGGTGCTGGGGGTTTGGGCTCAGTGCCATCTGGGAGGTCCATGGTGGTTGTGGGATGTGATTGGCCTTCTGGGCTGCAAGGTCCATCCGCTGCCCCTCGGGATGCGGGGGCAAGGCCAAGAGGCAACCCCGGCTGCCCTTGCTGCCACCAGAGTGGGGGCACGGCAGCCCTGAGGTGTGTGTCCCCCTCCTTGTGCTGCAGGCATATCTCCTCATCGAAGAGGACATTCGGGATTTGGCTGCCAGTGACGATTACAGGTGAGGACCAGAGCAGAGGTGCTGTGCCTGCTGCCCTGGGGCGGGAGAGGGGGGTCCTCTGCCACGGCCACCCCTGCTGCCCCACTGCAGGGGGTCCCTGTGCTGGAGGGGCCCTGCTGTATGCCAGCTGGGGGGGCTTGATGCTGGGAGTTTGAGGGCTTGGTGCTGGTTGAGGGTTGGTTTCGGGGGTCCGTGGTTGGTGTCAGTTTCCATGGTTGGTGCCAGGGGTCGGTGGTGGGGGTGCTGGAGGTTTGGGCTCAGTGCCGTCTGGGAGGTCCATGGTGGGTGCAGGGGGTCGGTCCCGGTGCTGGGTGGGTGTCTGCGCCGGGATCCTGCCACCTCACCCCCCCTCTCCCCCAGGGACTCCGTCGACCTGCGGCTGGAGGAGCTGAAGCCCTTCGTCCCGCCGGCGTGGATGACGGAGAAGATGCAGAAGCACATGGAGGCGCTTCGCCGCGGGGGGGACGTGCCGCCCCCCGAGGGTCCCCCCGAACCCTGACACCCCCCCCTTCCCCTTCCACGGACCCCCAATAAAGCCGCTTCGCACTCGCCTCTGCCGCCTCCTGGGGCTGGGGAGGAGGGGGGTGATTTGGAGGTGGTGGTGTCTGGCCCTTTAAGGGACCCGCGGCTCCGCCCCCTCGGGGCAGCAGCCAATCGCGGCATTTCCGCCGCGGCGACCACCGGTCGTTACCGTGGCAACCGCATCCCGGGCGGGCCGCCATTGGTCGGCTCGAAGGGAGCCGCGCGCTGATTGGCGGAGGGGCCGCACGTTGGAAACATTCAAACGGGGGCGCGGGAAGTGGGGCGGGACCGGACGGGACGGGAGGGGGCGGCTGCACCGGGACTGCCACCGCCGCACCGGAGAGCGCTCTGCATCGGCACCGCCGCACCGGAGAGCCTGCTCCTCCTCAACGGCACCGGGACCGCCGCACCGGGGAGGCCTCTGCGCCGCGCTAGGACTGGGCCGCCGCACCGGAGAACGCCCCGCATCGCCCCTCCGTACCGGGGAAGCTTCTCTAGGAGAGCCCAGCCCCCTTCTCGGCACCGGGAGAGCCCCGCTGCACTGGGACAACCGCAGCGGGGGGTCTACGGAAGAGAGGGAAGGAACGGAGCCCGGTGCGGCGCCGCCCGGGAGTGGGAGCAGCGTCCAGCCCCGGTGAAACGCCGCGTTACCGTCGCCATGGCCTCGCAGAACG